CCACTGTTGGCTTATTGGTCTGAAAAACTTCATGATGAATGGTGACTTTTCAGTGAGCAGAGAAACCTGATGGATGATACATTCAATAAATGGTTGACAAAGAAAAGAAAGGAAGGAAAGATAAATGGTTCATGAGAAAGAGCATGTGAGCATGTCCAGAGTGGAGGATTGATTACAGGCCAAAACCTTCAGACATATATATATTGAAAATTCTCACAATTCTGAAGAGTTTAGTACCAGGATTGTATCCTATTTCAGTCAGACCAACTCACAAAAGCTTTAGAATCCTTGGAACAGAATGATTTCATGCATAAAATTTTAGTGGGCAGTTGTCAGACTACTAATGCAAGTTCCCTACATTCAAGTGAGTTCAAGATCCAGGACAATGTCTTTGGCAAGATCTTGAATTATTTTCTTTTTCACAACAAATCCCAGAACTTCTGGAAGAGAGAACACAGCAAGTGAGTTCTGACTTTTGGTTGCTAGTCAATTCCAACTCTTTTAGAGGGTGAATTTCCAACCTGGAATATCTCATCCCAAATCAAGGACACACCTTCAAAATTGAAGATCCTAAATCTGAAAGGTCAATTTTTTAAAAATTTTGTTACAATCTTTACTGAATGCCAGGATTCTCAGAAAACCAACTAGAGTTGTCACCATATTTTTGAAACCTCAAAATGTTAATTCTTCAATGAATTGATTTCATGGAACATGATGACTAGCAACTTCCTTTATCTGTGGTTAAAAAGAAACAACTTTTTGTAAACAAATTAAGATTTTCACCTATCTTTTGGATTTTTAAGATATATCTGAAAACTTTAGGAAAAGAAATTTAACTATATATCTTTAAAATATTTGTTTCTTGTGTGTGTGTGTGTGTCCCCGTCTGTGTGTGCATGCGTGCATGCATGCTTGCCTGCATGCATGTGTGTGTATCATGGTACATGAGCAGGAGTCAGAGGACAGCTTGCAGAATAGAGTTCTCCTAATACATGGATCCATGAGAACAGACTGAGGCCTTCTGTCCTGATGCCAAGTGCCTTTACCCATGAAGCCAGCTCCCTGGTGCCATACTTTTCAATGCTGATCAATCCTGTATAATAAAGTCATGAATTTAGTCCTGTGTGGAATGCAGGTGAAAAGAGTTTGAGTTTGTGCTCACAAATCTATAAATGTTTCTCCTTTCTATTTGAAAAGTCAGCTTGTTCTCGTGCCTTCCATTTGCAAGGTGTTGACATTCAAATTTGGAAATCTCTGCACATAATTTATTGATGTGTGTAAAGCTGTCATGGAAGTTGCCATCTGAAGTTAATTGAAGAATTTGTTTTCCTCATGAATCAGCTGTTCACGTAAAATCATATTTTCTACTGTTGTGGGTATTTAATACACAAACCTACTTCTTTTCTTTCAAATAATGAAACAATTATTGGTTTGACACACGTGTAAAACTTCCCTTTCAAGAGGTTGTCACTGACTAAGAGGTAAAATTATGTTTTTGCCTGAACTGTGAGTTTTGTGTTTCCCTTGCAGTCGGTAAAATAGATGGAGATTAGAAGAGTCTAGAATATATTCATGCAGAATCTGCCTTGAGGTTTATTCTGGAGCATTTGGAGTTTTGTTTTAAGTATTCCACTTTTATATGGTGTACCTAATTGAGATCATGTTCTCGTGTTCCATTATGGAAATCGTAATTAAAAAATAGTAGCAACTAGTCTCCCTTTTGATGGGTGATTTCCTACTGAGCTTAGTTTCATGAAAAATAGTTTAAATGGATGAGGAGTAGATTGTGCTAGCAGTATACATACAGTAGGCACTTTAAAAATCTGTGTTAATACACCATCTTAGTTAATTAAAAAATCTCATTTATAATCATAAAGATAGGTTAATCATAAGCAAAGATATATAGTGTAAACATCAGTAGATATATTTCTATTTCTACTAAATTTGTCTCAAAAACTGAAATTCTGTAGCATTAAATATGCTCTTAAACATATTTTAGACATTATCAAATTTTCTAATACAATGACATAGTACTAAATCAACACATTTTATCTTATTAATTTTGTGAGTATTAATTAGCAATCAAACAAACTTGCAGCAGTATAAGGTAAATGCTTTTGCTTGCCTTTCAGTTAGAATTTATACTCAAAGCAAAGATAGGAGTAGGTTCTCCTCCGGGGTCCATGGCTTCACCAAACACAGTAGTGGGATGTGTTTATAGTAGCTGGCATGAATTTCCTTTTATCAAGTGAATATTATGTCCAATTAGATGACTGTTGTTACTTCCAGGAGATTAAGTATAACTATTGTACCTTTCAGGATACCAAGCCTTCATGGTCATTCTTGGGGTCTAGAGGCGTTATAGTTGGGGAGAAATGTGGTGATTGCTTTCTTCCCCTGGCAGTTTGCATAGTTCTTTCAGGTACTGTGAGAGCTAGTCCTTAGAGAGGAGGTGTCTGGGTCAGTTCCTGCTTGATTCCCTAAATCTTCTCTGTCTGAAGTGGGTGATGTCTTCAGCAATACTCATTTACACCAAATTCTTGGATGTTAAGAACAAAGGCAGCAAGTATCCTGCACTGTTCAAGAGATTATTTCAAACATTTAAGGCATGAAAGGAATACATTTTGTATGTTTAAGAAGGTGTCAGCTTAGGGAAGTTTTGATGGTTTTAGCATGAAGCCTTAGAGGAAAATGTTGAAACTGTTTATAGGCAAATTCTCAACTACAATGATGAAAACCAAATGTCTCTCCATTACTTATGAAATTATACTAAAATGTTGCTTGATGTGTGTCTTGGCTGGGATTTGGACCTAGATTTTCTAAAGCTACCAGAGTTTTGATCACAATACCTTATTATAGTGGTTAAGAAGATATTTGAGGCAGATTGCCTAGATTCAAACATTTACTCTGTATTTCTTAGTGGTGTAGTTTTGGATATTAACTTTAACCCGATGTCTTAGTCCAGAATAAAGATGATAATATTAACCCAGCATAATAATGAAGAAAAATAAATGCTGACATTTAAAATATTCATAAAAAATGAAGGAATATAGTAAGTGCTCAAGTAATTTAGCTAAGGATGGGGATTACCAAGACACTTAATTGGTTTTCTGGGACTCCATCATGTTCAGAATTGTGTGCTCTATGTAGCTTTTTTGTTTGTTTGTTTATTTTTGTTTGAAATGACTTTATTGCCATTGGATACAAGATGAATTTATGTTTCAGTTTACTTTTTTGGTATGTTTTGACACTTGAGTAACAGAAAATATAAGTTAGGCACTTGGGCCTTCTTATTACACTTCTTTTTCCTTACTGTCATACTTGGCTGTGGGAAAATAATTTTAGAGGTCTCTGAGTTACCTGATGTGCTTTTCATTCCTGTGGGTATTTTAGCAATGATACTATTTGACGTTCTTCATTTTGTGGCTCTTAAATTACACAACAATGTTTACTGAACTGCTTGCATGTTGTGCCATAGTTCATACAAATGAGTGTTATAAGGAACATTGCCATTCTTATGTAGGGCTAGATTCCAAATTATTGTTATGTTTATAATAACTTTCATTATGTCAGAATGGTGTATTTTTGGTCTAGTTTATGTATCAGGTTTTATTGTCTGTGAAAATAGAAATAATATTAAATAGTTAAAATGAATAATTTAATGCAGAGTTGTAGTTGTGTGGATAATGGACTCCTGAGACACCAAAAAAATGTCAATGAAAAATAAATGCAGAGTAGTTACCACAATAAAACTGGAGAGATAAAATAAAATGGCAGCATTTCTGAGTGCATATGTCAGGGTTCCCTGGAAGGAAAAAGCTGTGGTTATGTTCTACAGGTAGGATTGAGGTCTGGGAAGGACCTCTTGGGAGGACTGAGATGCTGGGAGAATACCCCTGCTGTTCCTTTCAGGTCCTATTGAACCTGATGAACAACTTCTGATGTGAGATGAGCCAAGAGTCAAGAACTAGGGAGCCTGGAGGAAAACAGTTTTCATGAGAGCCCTGGGAATCACTTAAAGCAGAGGAGGCATGAGAAATAGAGCTGGAAAGGAAACCATTGAAGACTGGTATTTATTTCATGACCAAAGAGAAGTGAAACTTATGTTCTACCCATATGTTGGGAACTCGGTGTTGATCTTCTTAGCAACTGATCTGCTTCTGTACACGTGTCGTGATTATTTTCCTGTTGGCTTCTAAAGAATGGTTAATAATGCGGTGATTTTAATATTGCACAAGATTTTTTGGGATATTCTGAGTAGTTTTGTGCCAACTTGACACAGGCAAAAGTCATCTGAAAGGAGGTTGTGGGCAAGCCTTTGAAGCATTTTTGTAATTAGTGACTGATAGAGAAAAACCCAGCCAATTGTGATCTTGGGTTCTATAAGAAAGTAGGCTTAGCAAATCCTCAGTGGCCTCTGCATCATCTCCTGCCTCCAGGTTCTTGCCCTGTTTGAGCTCCTTTCCTGACTTCCTTCAAAAATGAACAGTGTGGTGGAAATAATAAATAAACCAATAAACCCTTTCCTTCTCAACTTGCTTTTTGATCATGGTGTTTTATCACAGCAACAGATACAATAACTAAGACAGACAGCATATTTTGAATGAGTTGTACTCTAACTCCCAGATTAATTCTATACATATTATCATTCACTTGTAAGATGCAGTGGCTGCAGCTGTGAGCTATTACACACATCGTCTTTCAGTTGGAATCTATAGAAGGAATTATAATCTCAAGCCATCACCCTGTCCAGTTTGCCATTTTCCCCTCAGAGAAGTATGTTGAGGGAACAGATCATTTGGTCTTCTGACTTCAGCATCTGAGCTCTATCTCACGATGATATACAAGACACACAGGCGGTTCTGTGCCATGGGAGGTGCCTGGCATTTGGCACTTAGGCTTACTTGCTTACTTTACTAAATCTGACACACACCTCATATTGTTCTTTTAATGAATACCATACAGGCAGGCAATACTTTTCATAACTTTAAGTACACAGACAATAAGGAGGACAAACTCCCTCAGTACATAAACCCTGTAAAGGACTAGCTGTATTTTTCAGTGCACAAAAGGGATGTAAGTGGCTGGAAATGCTTTGTGCTTCAGTAGACTCCTGAGAGAGATGAGAGGCCCCATTGAGCTTTTGGGGCCTTGGTGAAACTGGAGATATGTGCATCTGGGGACACACACAGGACTTTTGTGACCTGTAAGAAAAGAATGCAAATCAGTGGATAAGAAAACTCAGTCCCTCTGTTGAAGGGATTCCTGGGTATTGACAAATTTGTGCAAAATTTATGACATGCTGTGGTTAAAGGACCATCCCTCACTCCCTGGCTTCTTCAGCAAGAAAGGCTGGGGAATGAGGTGTGAGGACAACACTGAGGCTTCAAGAGATGACCATGGGGTTAGAAGATAGACAAGTACTAGTTTGGACCTAGGTGACTGGGTAGAAACAGGGAGGAAGGAATTTTATCAGTGATTTTGCAAGGTTTTCATGATTTTTTTAGTTACAATATTATGTTATCTTTAGATATAGTGAATAAAACTCACCAGAATTAAGTTACTTTGACCTCTTACTAATTCTAAATGTTGTATGAGTCTTTTAACAGCACTAATGTTTTCTCACATATAGATAGATAGATAGATGATATAGATATAGATATAGATATAGATATAGATATAGATACAGATATAGATATAGGTGAGGCCAACTCCAGTGGTCCTAGGGTGAGATTTCATTGTCACTTTGATACTTCTACTTGAATTTTCAAAATATGTGTCATGGAAAGCAAGCATTTTTTAAAGACATGAAATTCACTAACTTTAACTTCGAAGATTGGTATATTGGCTTATGTTGGAACTAACCATTTTATTTATAAATATATAGTAATGATGAAAAATATATATTACAGATTGGGAGAAGACATTTGTATTCCCTACATTCATCAGAGTATTAAGTGTCAAGGATATACTAATAAGTTCTACAAATCAATACAAAAGCATAGGCAATTCAACAGATAAATGGGTCTAAATCATGAATAACTTTTTACAGAAAAGTGGATATATATTGCCAATAAACATATGAAGAGATAATTTGCACTCAATAATGACCAGAGAATTACATATCATGCTATAATGAGGTCTATTTTACATTCATTTGATTGAAAACATAAAATAAAAAGCTCATTATACTAAGTGATTAAGAGGATGTGAATCCCTGGGGTCTTTTATGCATTGTTTCTTTAAACATAAATTGGTATAAATGCTGTGGAAAGCAGTTGGATATTGTTTTGTATTTCTGCTTACTGTGTGAGAAAGCGATTTTGTCTGTAGATTCAGTAGAAAAATTCTTCCACCAGACATAAACAAGGTTGCTTATTGTGGTTCTCTTTCCAGTAGTCTATCTGTAGAGGAAAATATAATGCTTTCCCAGTAGGCAAGTGCCAAGTCCAGTATAATGGACTGCTAAAAAACCAGAAGGGAACAAACAGAATGGACATGCTTCCGTATAGATGAAGCCTAGCAGAACCTTGTATTTGTATGTCCTCAGCAAGTAGTAAAAAAGGCAATTAACATGGAAAGAAAAATTGAGAAAAACAGAGAGATGATAAGGAATGACTGACTGACCTGTTTCTCTGGATGAAGGGAGTAAAAGGGGTGGAATTGGGGAAGATGAGACCAAAAGATGGGAATGATTATAAGAGCCTGCATTTTTTATTGCATGATGGGCTCTCATTGTTCATGCTGGGTAAACAAAGGGATACTACAGAAAGACCCACATAGACCAAATATGACAATATTGTATACCAGGACTGTGATGAACAAATTATGAAAAAAATGCTATTTAAGACATTTTTTTCATGAAACTCTGGTAGAAACTTTTTCTTGCCTCAAATAGCAATACTTTGACTTCTTCTTTTCCAAATTGTAACCCTTTGATTTCCTTAAGTTGTCTTATTGCTCTATCTAAAACTTCGAGCGCTATTTTGAATAGACATGGAGAGAGTAGATAGCCTTGTCTTGTTTTTAGTATAGTTGCTCTAGGTTTCTCTCCATTTAATTTGAAATTGTTTTGCTGCATATTGCCTTTATTATGTTTAGGAATATTTCTTGTATACCTGATCTCTCCAACACTTTTATCATGAATAGGTGTTGGATTTTGTCAAAGGCTTTTTCAGCATATAATGAGTTGATCATGTGTTTTTTTTCTTCTTTCAGTTTTTTTGTATTTTGTATTATATTGACAGTTTTTCTTATGTCATTGGCTGGGGCAAAAACATCTAGGGTGCTTAATTTGCAAATTCAGGAGTAGTAGGGTCTAGGGGAAGGAACCTTATAATATCTCATAGAAAAGAAGGAAGTCCAGCCAGTGATGTTTCAGTGGTTAGATAAGCAACAACCAGTCTTTATATCCACGGAGATGTATGAACTCAGCATTTGCTATGTTCACCAGGGCACATCAGATCTCAGGGAAGCCAAACTAGGGGTCTGCTAGTACCTGAGCAAGGTAGGGGAGCAGCCAGACTCCTGCTGCTCTCAGGATGAGAAAATCCAGGGTTTTAGACATGCTTCAACCTTTTCTTAGCTTCAGGCAAGCTCTGGTCCGACTGACCATTCTTCTTAGGGTATAACTGTCCCTTACTCCCTCCAAATAAAAGAGTTTTCCTCCAACACAGTCTCCTGAGTGCTCTCTTTCCTGTCATGCTGTCCCAGCCCTCACCACCATCCTCCATCAGGCTACTGTGCATTAGTCCTTCCACAACATCCTGGAAATTTTCTACAATGTGAAGGCTAGGAAACTCTAAAGAGAGTAGGGACACCTTCAAATTTTTCTAGAGTTGTTGCCTGATACCAATCTATTAGTCTGTATCTTCATTAGAATTACAAGGTGAGAAGTTTGCAGTCCACAGCACACCATTTCCTTCCCTCTGCCTCCCACATGGGTTTTTGTATATTTTCATATCTGTAGAGGGTATGAAATTGAACTAGGTCTTTAGAAGGCAGGAAATAATCAAACTGAGGGATTAATTCAATAAAAATAGAAGCAAAGAGAACAATACAAAGAATCAATGAAACAAAGAGTTGATTCCAGTCTGCCTATCACATGATCACGGGTCTAAAGGTACACACTAAACCTACCACCAAGAGCTCTAGCCTTCACTGTAATTGTTGGAAGCTTCTTTTCTACATCCCAACTCTTAAAAAATCTCAATAAACTCACCTCTTTTTGTGGGCTGCCATGTCATAATCCAGGCCCTTATCTCCCCTAGCACAGACACCTGCAGTGCTTACCCTGAGGTATGCAAATCACTCCCCATTGCATTCATCAGGAGGTAGGAAAACCAGGAAGCTCCATTACCTCTTTCTATTTATTGCCTCCATTCACTCCATAGTAGATTGGTGGGGCATAGCAGATGTGTCAGACTTGGGAGTGAAGGATGGTCCAGACTTTAAAAATTACAGCTGCAAGGTTATCTGGTGCTGTTTTCTGCTTGAGTCAGAGAGCAGCCACTTTAACTTTTCTTCCCTGTTTAATAAAGGCTCTCTCTGTGAAAACAGGTGTTTAGGTGTGTTTTGTATCTAATCCTGGGTCCAGGAGGGAACCTCTGATGTGCAGGGGTCTCCTTCAGGTATAGTCTGTTGCATTTATTTCTCTATCCATTCACTCACTTAGTTTCATCAGCAAGACCTGGGTATTTTTCAAGTCTTGCTTTGGAAAAAAGAGGAAAGATGAAGCTCCAGGAATAGCATCCACAATCTTAGCATTTTCAGTTGGCAGAGCAGGTTTGAGAATAACCTAACTTTGTGAATGACTACAAAGGGTGTTAATTAAGTAGCAGGTGTTTTATCACCATGTCTACTTAAAAAAATGTAGCACAGATGTAGAAAGCTTAACTACATCTATAGTTTGTATAACAAAATTCTCTATTCACTGGGTTCCATCTGCCGCAATAACCTCAAACCACACTTAGTGCCAGCCAATTAGCACCTTGATTAAGCTATAGACCACCTGCAGCTTCAGTGCCGGAATGAATTCAGTAACTTTAACAGGAGCGCATTGTGGAACCTGGACTAAAGCAGTGTAGCAAAGGGGGAGACAAGATTCAGTTTTGTCGTGCTTGTGCACACTCCCTTAATTACACAGGTTCACATGTCAGTCGTTTCATCTCTGCTTTGTTCTTCATTTTCTCAGACATGGAAATTAGGCTGAAGTCTTTACAGACATTATACTTTGTTGTGTCAGCTCAAATTTGAAAGAACCCGTGGAAATGCTCCCATTTGCTCAGCTCAGGGCATATGCTGATTCTGAATAGGGTTGGGTATCCCATCCCAATCAGAACAGTTTAGGTTTGGTAACTCCATATTGTGGCTACAACTACAGAGTATGTTAGGCAAACCATTACGTGACTCTCCCTGGGGAGATATGAACAAATGTTTGTTTATGTTGCATAGAAGACCAAAGACAAACCAAAGAAACATCTTCATTGAAGTCTAGTCTAGGGGACTAGTAAATCTACTGGAGTTACTTAGAGGAGGAGTGATTGTGGCTTAGAGAACCATGGGTGTCTCGCAGGCAGTGCAAAAATAATAAAACTCACATCCTGGGAGCTCTATTCACAACTTACAAGCAGCTTGGCCAGTCAGAGTCCCTTCCCCCAGCAATTGTTAATGCTGCATAATTCTGGAGAGGAGCCTTGTGAATCTTGAAAATTCCAAGAGCTTTCTGAGTCCTGTAATTGCAATTGCTTCCTGAACCTTGCCTGCTTTACTTAGTCCTTAAATATTACAAGCCTCCTTCCCCCTACCAGGAAGTAATGTTTCAATTTGAAGGGATCAACTGTACAAAACAGAATCATAAACACCGACAGAAATAAAACAAAATAACCAAAATCCTCTATTTTGTCTTATGAATTGTGGAGGAACTTTTCATTGCCAACAGTGACTTTTCTCTCAATAGAGAAAGCTTTCAGCTAAAATTGTGTGTGTGTGTGTGTGTGTGTGTGTGTGTGTGTGTGTGTGTGTGTCCTTTCTTCATTCCATCATTGTCATTAGCCAGGTCTCCAGTACCTAAGCCGTGTAAGGACATAGCATTAGGAAGTTGCTATGGTCACCCAAATGTGATGTGGAGAAGGGAGGAGAGGTAGGGCAGAAGGCCACGGCCTCCAGAGACCGTAACCCAGTGAGAACACACATGTGCTAGCATTCCTCTCTTTCTGCAGCGCTAGCGGAGGAACTGTTTCTCGTGTCAGCGCAGCCACACGTGTGCCCTTTGTTTCAAGTAGAGTGTGGAAATCATGGGAAGTAGAAAAATAACAACATAAACTGGGGTGAAAATGGGTTTCACTTTGAACAGTTCCTTTTAGGTTCTTAGTGTACAACTACAAGAGACTAATCAGCTATCTATCAGGAGCTGGCATGCACGTGAATTCTCAGTAAAAGGGCCTCACGGCTATTATGAATAAGTGTTGTCATTCTGTGTAGATCCTTTCTTCCAAAGGCAGAAGTGCTCAGATCTTATTATATTCTCTTAAAGGCAAAAAGGGGTAGATTTAGCTTAAATTATTAGATAATTTTTAACACTAAATTTAGAAATTATTTACTTACCTTGAAATGATATGTGGAAAATTGTGAAAAGATCAATAAATAACCCCTGAAATTCAATAAAGAACATGATTTGTAAAGGTGAATCGTGCAATTTTGGATGCTGATTATATATGCTGTATGAAGTTTGTTCTCCTCTTTTATTCAAGAACTTGAAATGTTCAAGGGCAGATAGAAGATGGATATAGAGTAGGGGAGAATGAAGGGAAGGGGGAAGCCATGTGTAAGGGGGAGAGATACAGGAAGGGCTGGACCCATAGCAGCTCTCACTGCTGGAACCTGACAGCAGGAATGCCCTGGGAAAGGAGGTGCTGTTCCAGTCTGATAACTGATATTAATACTGGGATTGTTACTTCTACACTCCAGTAATTAACTTGAGAACTCTTGCTAGGATTTCATATTGTCTCTGTATTTTATCTCTTCCAAAATGTAGTAACTAGTGGTGATGGTTAATATTTGCAGTCTTCCAACAGCTTATGATTTTAGTATTTTCATTTTTTCTTTTGAGGCTTTTTGTCTTCTCTGGAATTGTGTTTTTGTTATTGTTTTACTTCTGAATCTCTTGTCTTCTCTTTGTCACATAGATGTTTAGAAACCCACTGGTGTCATCCCTAATTCATAGATTGTCTTTAATTCCAGTCTTATGTAGAACAAAAAAAGTAACAGTGATTGAAGAAGCATTTATTGCTTGCTTTCATGGATCATGATTTTTGGTGGTGTGTCCAGGAAGTATGGCCAAGCTCTTGTTTATTTATTTTTTATTGTTTTTACTGGGTCCACTTAGGATTTTTATTTTAAGATTATTCACTATAAATACATGTCTTTTGAAAATGTTTTGGAAGCCAGTATCTTTTTTCCTTAAGGTATTTTTTATTTAAATTAAAAACATGCTTGCTTCACATGTCGATCCCATCTCCCTCTCCCACCCCTCCTCTCTTACCCCGTTACAAGCTCCCCAAACCTTCCAGCCAATCCTCACACCATACCCCAAGGAGGGTGAGACCCTTCATGGGTGATCTCCATAGTCTGCCACTTCATCTGGGGCAGGGCCTAGGCCCTCCGCCATGTGTCCAGGCTGAGAGAGCTTCCATCCATATGGAATGGGCTCTCAAAGTTTATTCATACGCTGTGGTAAACACTGATCTACTACCCAAGGTGCCAGAGATTGCCGAGGCCTCCTCACTGACACCACATTCAGGGCGGTCTGGATCAGGCCCATGCTGGCCTCTTAACTATCAGTCTGGGGTCCAAGAGCTCCCCCTTGTCAGGTCCACTGTCTCTGTGGGTTTCACCAGCACAGTCTTGACCCCTTGGCTCATCACTACTCCCTCTCTGTCACTGGGTTCCAGGAGTTCAGTTCAGTGTTTAGCTGTGTGCGTTTGCCTCTGCTTCCATTAGCCATTGGATGAAGGTTCTAGGATGGCATATAAGGTAGTTGTCAGTCTCATTATCAGGGAGGGGCAATTAAGATAGTCTCTCCACTATTGCTTAGTTTGCCAGTTGGTGTCATCCTTTTAGATCTCTGCAAACCAACAGCCAGCATCAAAATGAATGGAGAGAAACTCAAGGCATTTCCTCTAAAATCAGGAGCAAGATAAGGCTGTCCTCTCTCCTCATACCTCTTCAATATTGTACTTGAAGTTATAGCTAGAGCAATAAGACAACAAAAAGAGATCAAGGGCATACAAATTGGAAAGGAAGAAGTTAAACTTTCACTATTTGCAGATGATATGATAGTTTATATAAGTGACCCAAAAAACTCTACCAGGGAACTCTTACAGCTGATAAACACCTTCAGCAAAGTGGCAGGATACAAGATCAACTGAAGAAAATCAGTAGCCCTACTATATACAGACAATAAAAGGGCTGAGAAAGAAATCAGAGAAACATCATCCTTTACAATTGCCACAAACAAAATAAAATACCTTGGGGTAATGCTAACCAAACAAATGAAAGACCTATATCGCAAGAACTTTGAGTCATTAAAGAAAGAAATTAAAGAAGACACCAGAAAATGGAAAGATCTCCCATGCTGTTGCATAGGTAGGATCAATGTAGTAAAAAATGGCAATCTTGCCAAAAGGAATCTACATACTCAATACAATCCCCATCAAAATTCCAGCACAATATTTCACAGACCTTGAAAGAACAATTCTCAACTTTATATGGAAAAATAAAAAACCCAGGATAGCCAAGACACCCCTGTACAACAAAACAACATCTGGAGGAATCACCATCTCTGACTTCAGGCTGTATTACAGAGCTATAGTCCTTAAAACAGCTTGGTATTGGCACAAAAATACACAGGTAGACCAATGGAATCGAATTGAAAACCCTGATGTTAACCCACACACCTAAGAACACCTGATTTTCAACAAAGAAACTAAAATCATATAATGGAAAAAAGATAGAATCTTTAAAAAATGGTGCTGGCATAACTGGAAATTGGCATGTAGAAGACTGCAGATAGATCCGTATCTATTACCGTGCACAAAACTTAAGTTCAAATGGATCAAAGACCTTAACATAAATCCAGCCACACTGAACTTCTTAGAAGAGAAAGTGGGAGGTACCTTTGAACAAATTGGTACAGGAGCCTGCTTCATGAACATAACACCAGTACCACATACACTAAGATCGACAATTAATAAATGGGACCTCCTGAAACTGAGAAACTTCTGTAAGGCAAAGGACACAGTCAACAAGACAAAAAGGCAGCCCATAGGATGGGAAAAGTTATTCACTGACCCCACATCTGACAGAGGTCTGATATCCAAAATTTACAAAGAACTCAAGGAGTAAGTCTCCAAAACACCAAAGAATCCAATTAAAAAGTAGGCTACAGAATTAATAGAAAATTCTCAATAGAGGAGTCTAAAATGGCTGAGAGACACTTAAGAAAGTGCTCAATATCCTTAGCCATTAGGGAAATGCAAATTAAAACAAATTTGAGATACCAACTTTTTCCTGTCAGAATGGCTAAATTCAAAAACACCAGTGACAGCTTATGCTGGAGAGGATATGGAGAAAGGAGAACACTCCTCCACTGCTGTTGGGAATGCAAACTTGTACGGTCACTTTGGAAATCAGTATGGAGATTCCTCAGGAAAATGGGACTCAGTCTACCATAAGACCCAGGAATTCCACTCTTAGGCATATACCCAAAAGATGCCCATTGTGTTTTTATTTTTTTATTTTTCATTTTACATACCAACCCCAGTTTCTCCTCCCTCCCCTTCCCTGGTGCCACCAACTCCCTCCTTCTCACCCACCATCCACTCCTTGTGTAGTGGTAAGGCCTTCCTTGGGGAATCAACAAAGTCTAACATACCAAGTTGAGGCAGGACCAAGCTCCTCTCCACCTGTATCAACGCTGAGCAAGGTATCCCAACATGGAGAACAAGCTCTTGTTTTTGAAGGCTAATATTCTTGTTCTTCTAAGAGTTTTACTATTGTAAATACTTTATTTTCTACGTATTTCTATTTTTGTGTAAAGTGTACTTTGTTTCCATCTTTGTCACACCATTAATGTATATGCTAAGTTTTTTCCTCCATTTCTAGCTCATATTCTTGCTATCTGTTTGGAACCCTCCTTTTCCCAATAAGCCATCTCCTATTTTCCTGTCTTTTACTCCAGGGAGTTTAATTGCTATTAACAACCTGTAGTCACTCACTAAGGGGTAGGGCCTAAGGAACGCCTCTCACTTGTGTGTTTAAATGGTGATGAGACAAATCTTGTGCTAGTCTGTGAGGTAAACACAGCTGTAGTGAGAAGACAGTCTCCTAGCACTCCTCCTCAATCTCTCCCTCTTCCTTGATGTTCTCTGAGCCTTGGCTAGGGTAACACAGATGTCCCTTTGGACATCTATTATTTGGTGCACTTTGGCCACATGTAAGTCTTCACTTCTGATTAACTTCTGCCATGCAAGTCACATTGTTTATATTTTATTTTAGTTTCTTTCTACACTATATGTATATTATATACAGTTAAGTTGTAATTAAATTCATCTTTCATGTAGTAATTGAAATATATTTGACTATCAAAAGTTGCTTTTATTGTTAAGTGAGTCTTAAAATTTTATGCTTCTCATATTAAAAGATATCTTTGAGAATTTGGAGTAGCATCTAAAAACATAAAATGAGTCATTTTGTGACTATAAAAATGAATTGCTATATTCCAAAGTAAATTGAATGTTTGTATTTTAGATTAGAAAGTCTGCTACATTTTCCATAATCCCAGTAATAACCTGTACTAAATCAGCAATTTGAGCACTATCAACCTCGACAATAGCTTTAATCTATATATTTACTTGTTCAGCTATTGCTTTTCTTACCCTTAAAATACTGACCCCTTAAGTAAAACAAGGTATTTAGTGTAAAGGGCACATAAAACAACTTGTTTCAAAAACCATCAAATAATACTCAAGAAAATTTCTCGGGGTAAATTGTAGGTTACAATGTAAGGTTAAGGAGTCTTAAAAAGCAGAAATTCTTTTGCACCTATAATTTACCTCTATATTTATCATACTGTATGTCAATGGAGTGAGAATGAGAATAGCAGAGAAATCAATTAAAATGATATAGGAATTATGGAATTGTAGGGAGTGTATTTAAAGAGTAAACAAATAAGGATACTCTGGGTCAAAGCTCATAGTAGATGGTGGAGCCTTTTTTAAAAATATTTTGTTCTGATGAGTAGTTTGAGTCCTAAGAAAAGAAACAAGGATCATGGCATTCTTTCTCAGCAGATCAGGTAAGAAATAAAAATAGAGAATATATATCATGATCAATTTGTATAGAAGCCTGTAATACACACACCAAGTATACCTCTGAGTTCCTCAGATGTGCAAAAGAACATTACCTCTCTGATCCAGGGTGCTGAAGAGTGACAGCCATAGGCAGATGGAGGCAGGGTCCACAGGAAATCTCTACCTGGTTTTCAGTTTTGCTGTGACTATAAAATGAATAAAATAAAATGTATTTAAAGGAAAATGTAGGCTAGTGTCAAAGGCATATTCCTGAATCCTTCATGTCTTTAGATTTGGAGTGAAGTTTTACTCAAAATATGTACTTCAATACATTTCTTATTGGCATCTTGGATGATCAATTCCTGATAGCTGCTTCACAATTGCAGCACTCAGTCTTTTTTATTAATGCATTTTTTATTTTTAAATTTAAAATAGAAACAAGGTTTCTTCATATGTTAACCCCAGCTTCCTGTCCCTGTCACTCCCCTTCTCCCATACCCTCCCACTAGCTCCCCCCTCCCCCTCCCCCAATCCCCACTCATTTTACCAGGGAGGCCCTCTATGGAGGATGTCCATAGTCTGTTGTTTCATCCAGGGCAGGGACTAGGCCCTCCCCCAAGAGTCCAGGCTGAGAGAGCATCTCTCATTGTGGGATAGGCACCCAAAGTCCATTTGTATGCCAGGGTTAAATACTGATCTACTACCCAAGGCCCCATAGATTGTCCAGGCCTCTTCACTGACACCCACATTCAGGGGGTCTGGATAAGTCCCCATGCTGTTTCTGTGGGTTGAACAAGCCCAGTCTTTTTTCCCAGTGATCATGGATGGAGCCAGAATTAGTGGCATTTGTATTCACTGATGTTCATGTATTCCAAGTTTCTTTTGTTTTCCCAGTAGAGTCTGAAGAAAGCCTTCACCTTGAGTAACAAAAAATCCCACAGGAATTACACAGGAAACTATGTTCATTTACACCTTGTTGAGCAAGCTCCATTGAAATGGAAGGGAAACCACTCTAGTTTGAAGACTCTAAATATCACATATGCTTCACAATGGACAGTTTAATTTCACAGGGAATTCACAAGAAATCAGAACTCAATAAGCATCCATTCCTATCAAAATATATGTCAACTATCCTTTAAAAACAGATTAAAATAAGACTTTTCTATGCTTATCTTGTCTTTGCTTCTTTAAAACTTGGCATGACTGCAATGCAAACTCTCTCTGAGTTTACCATTTCATTGGTGCCCCTACAAAGTAGTTGATGTGATAAAGTTCCTTTGCAAGGTTTTGAATGATTTGTTGAACTCCTGTGTTTCCTTTTTGCCTAGTTCAAAATATAACTTGTTTAGCTTTTGTTTTCCATTCTATTTGATGCTTCCTATTATTAATATATATTCTATAAAGTTATTAGTGAAAGCCTTAATCTGTGGACATATACTGATGTCTGTTTTCCAAGTAACATTATAGAATCCCAAGGATACTGTATTTTTCAAAGGTATGAATTCTGTAGTCTTATTTAGAGGATTCAAGCATCAGCTAGACCCTTATAATTGGTCATTTCTTTCTTACTTGTCAGTAAGATGGGACAATCATAGTACTCTTGGGCAGGCCCTAACCTCCAGCAACCCCAGCTTCAGGTGAGCCTGGGTCTCCGGGGGGGGGCACTCCCCATCCCCTGCCCAACACCCATCCCCTCAATCTTCTGGCGGTGCACTCCTGGCATCTAGAAGACCTACACACACAGGAAAGGCATCAGCCCTTCCAGGCTCCAACATCCAGTGACCCCAGCTTCAGCTTCAGCTTCAGCTTCAGAAGAGAAGGATACCAGTGGAGACAGAAAGACCCCACCTGCACCACTGGAAGAAGAGATGGGAAGAAGACAGAATAAGAGCTCACTCAGCAATAGAAAGACCACTAGAATCTAGAGAACCAATGCCAGCAAGACCTGAAAAGCACTACATAGATGAAGCAGAGGAGACATACCTTAAAAATTATGTTATGAAGATGATAGAGACCCTCAATGAGGAAACGAGGAAATCCCTTATAGAAATAGAAGAAAAAAACAAACAAAAATCCATGAAATGGGGGGAGGAATTCAAAAAATAAACAAATCTCTCTAAGAATCTAAAGAGTACCAAGAAAAAACAACCAAACAAATGAAGGAAACGACTCAAACAGTTGAAGGATTGAAAGCTGAATTAGAAACAATAAAGAAAATACAGAACAAGGGGATGCTGGAAATAGAAAAGCTGGGTAAATGATCAGGAACTACAGATGCAAGTATTACGAATAGAATAAAAGAGATAGAAGAGAGAATCTCAGGTGTTGAAGACTCATTAGAGGATATACAGTCATCAACCAAAGAAAATCTCAAACCAACAAATCCCTAACACAAAATATACGGGAAATATGGGACACTGTGAAGAAGCCAAACCTGAGAATAATTGGTATAGAAGAAGGCAAATAAATACAGCTTAAAGATACAGAAAACTTTCAACAAAATCATAGAAGAAAACTCCCCTAACCTAAAGAAGTATATGCCTATGAAAATACAAGAATCTTATAGAACACCAAATAGCCTGGACCAGAAAAAGAAGTCACCTCGCCATATAATAATCAAAACATCAAACCTACAGAATAAAGAGAAAATATTAAGAGCAGCTACAGAAAAAGGCCAAGTAACCTATAAAGGCAGACCTATCCGAATTACATCTGACTTCTCAATGGAAACTATGAAAGCTAGAAGATCCTGGACAGATGTTCTACAAATGCTAAGGAAACAAGGATGCCAGCCCAGACTACTATATCCAGCAAAGCTTTCAATTACCATAGATGGAGAAAACAAAATATTCCATGACAATGCCAGATTTAAACAATATGTATCCATGAATCCAGCTCTCCAGAAAGTGCTGGAAGGAAAACCTAGACCCAACGAAGATAACTACACTCACAAAGACACAGGCAATAGATAATCCCACTTTACCAAACACCAAAAGAAAAAGGGTGGAGAACCTACACACAATAACTTCACTACCAATAAATCAAGCACAAACAAGAATCTTCAATCAATGGTCATTAATATCCCTCAATGTCAATGGTCTCAACTTGCCTATAAAAAGACACAGACTAACAGAATGGATACAAAGACAGAACCAATCCTTCTGCAGCATACAAGAAACACATCTCAACGTCAAAGACAGACATTACCTCAGAGCAAAGGGTTGGGAAAAGATTTTCCAATCAAACGGACCCAAGAAAAAAGCAGGTGTAGCAATCCTAATATCTATCAAACTAGATTTCAAATTAAACTCAATCAAAAGAGATGAAGGAAGACATTTCATATTCATCAAAGGAAAAGTCCATCAAGATGAAGCCTCAATTTTGAACATCTATGCCCCAAATACAAAGGAACCCACATTTGTGAAAGAAATATTACTAAAGCTCAAATAGCACATTAAATCTCACACACTAGTAGTAGGAGACTTCAATACTCTGCTCTCACCACTATACAGGACCTCCAGACAGGAACTTAACAAAGAAACAAAAGAACTAATAGAAGCTATGACTCAACTGGGTTTAACAGACATCTATAGAACATTCCACCCAAACACAAAGGGATATACCTTCTTCTTGGCACCACATGGAACCTTCTCTAAAATTGACCACATAATAGGAAACATAGCAAATCTCCACAGATACAAAAGAATTGGAATAACCCCCTGTATCTTATCAGACCACCATGCATTAAAATTAGAATTCAACAATAACACAAATCGCAGAAACCCTACAAACTCATGGAAATTGAACAATGCACAATTGCACCATCCCTGGGTAAAGGAAGAAATAAAAAAAAGAAATTAAAGACTTCCTGGAATTCAATGAGAATGAAGACACAACATACCCAAACTTATGGGACACTCTGAAAGCAGTGCTGAGAGGAAAGTTCATATCACTAAGTGCCCACATGAAGAAACTGGAGAACAGTCACACTAGAGAATTAATAGCACAGCTGAATGCTCTAGAACAAAAAGAAGCAAACTCACCCAGGAAATAATCAAATTGAGGGCTGAAATCAATCAAGTAGAAACCAGGAAAACATTGAGAAGAATCAAATGAAACAAAGAGTTGGTTCTTTGAGAAAATCAACAAAATAGACAAACCTCTGTCCAAACTAAACAAAAGACAGAGAGAGAGCATTCTAATTAACAAAATCAGAAATGAAAAGGGGAACATAACAACGGACACTGAGGAAATCCAGAGAATCATCAGGGCATACTTTGAAAATCTGTACTCCACAAAATTTGAAAATTTAAAGGAAATGGACAATTTCCTGAATAGATATCACTTGCCAAAACTAAATCAAGAACAGATAAACAATCTAAACAGACCTATAACCCTTAATGAAATAGAAGCAATCATCAAAAGTCTCACAACCAAAAAAAGCCCAGGACCAGATGGCTCCAGTGCAGAATTCTAACAGAAATTAAAAGAAGAGCTAATCCCAATACTCCTCAAAGTATTCCACACAATAGAAGCAAGAGGCTCACTGCCAAACTCTTTTTATGAGGCTACAATTACCTTGATACCCAAGCCACACAAAAACACAACTAAGAAAGAGAACTATAGACCAATTTCCCTCATGAACATCGGTGCAAAAATACTCAATAAAATACTAGCAAACTGGATTCAAGAAAACATCAGAAAAATTATCCACCATGATCAAGTAGGCTTTATCCCTGCTGGTTCAACATTAGAATATCTATCAATGTAATCCACCATATAAACAAACTGCGAAAGAAAAACTACATGATCATCTCACGAGATGCTGAAAAAGCCTTTGACTAAATCCAGCACCCCTTCATGATAAAGTTCCTAGAGTGATCAGGGATAACAGGAACATACCTGATCATAATAAAAGCAATATACAGTAAACCAACAGCTAACATCAAACTAAATGGAGAGAAACTCAATGCAATTCCTCTAAAATCAGGAACAAGACTAGGCTGTCCACTCTCTTCATATCTCTTCAATATTGTACTTGAAGTTCTAGCTAGAGCAATAAGACAACAAAAGGAGATCAAGGGGATACAAATAGGAAAAGAAGAAGTCAAGCTTTCACTATTTGCAGGTGATATGACAGTTTACATAAGTGACCCAAAAAAACTCCACAAGGAAACTCCTAGAACTGAT